ATCTTGCCTTTATTTAAAATTTTATTTGAACACAGCCACGCTCATTAATTTACATTTTTTCTGTGGCTGTTGTGGTGCTATAATAATAGCATTGAGTAGTTGTGGATCAAATGATCCACAAAGCCTAAAATATTTACTATTATCTAGTCTTTTAGGGAGAAGTGCTGACTCTTGCTCTATCTCTTAAGTCTTTCGTGGTCAGCTCATGTTAAAGCTCTGGTGGAGATTTATGAGGTTAGTATTTTTGTGTTGTTTCCCATGTGCTCCATTCTAAGAAAGAATACTTTTTTTTTTTAAATGTCATTTTGGGTTGTTAGTGCCCAGCTTTCTTATCCATAAGTAGGTATAATACCACCTATGAGAAATTAATGAGAAATGTAAAGTACTTAGGCATCCAGAGAGAATTCAAGCAATGGGGAGATATAATCAGGGAAGTCTAAGGGTTTATTTGGGTGATTTAAGATGACATGTTTTTAGAGATTCTGATTTTACACAGAGCTGACTGTAATGGCCTAGTTTATCCAGGATTTTAATATAACGTTACTGATTAACTTTCCTCCATGCTTTTCTTCCTTCCTCCGTCCCTGCCTTTATCCCTCTCTCCCTTTCTCTTTTCTTTCATCTCTTCCTCTTAGTCTTCATACCTTCTTTTCTCTTAAAAAATCTTTAACTGAGAATATATTTATTAAATTGTTTTTTTGTTGTTGTTGTTTTTGTTTTGTTTTTTTAAGAGAGAGAGAAAGGGGGGAGAGGGACGGGACAGAAACATTGATGTGAGAGAGAAACTTTGATCAGTTGCCTCCTGTAAACATCCCCCTAGGTCAGAGGTCGGCAACCTTTAAGACATAAAGAGCCACTTTTATGGAAAAAAAAAAGCCTGGGAGCCGCAAAACCATTGCGACATTTAAAACAAATATAACACTGCATATATTGTTTCTTACCTTAATGCTATATACCGGATCGTGCAGTTAGCTGTCAATCTGAAGAAAAAAAGGACTTTTTCACTTAACAATGTAAAATATATTTTTGCAAATTAATAACTAATTAAAATATTTAATTTACCTGGTTAATGGGATTTTTGCTCCTGAACCTCAGTGCACAGTGTCAGCACATCAGGGCTGTAAGACTTTACCTTCATTTTCACACAGGCTTGCAAGTTGTCATCTGTGAGGCGTAATCGATGTTTGTTTTTAATATAGTTCATGTTGGAGATGTGGAGCCGAAGATTGACAGGACTCCAAATGCATACTTTTTCATGTTTATATAAGTGTTGGAGATGGCATTCCATGTTTCGAATAAAAGTTTGTCCTGTTTGGGAAGGTTTTCAATATCACTCCATTTATGATTCTGAGCCAGAATGGCCTTCTGACAGGCAACATCCTCAAGAGTAGCGGCCAAGCATTTGATCTTGGAGACCCATATATCTTTGTCGGCTATATCGGCCAGTTCCATCTCAAGATCAGGTAGACTTATATCTGCAAATGCAGTTATATTCAATAGGGATGGATCGATCGCCAGGGGAGTGACAGGGAAGGATAATGTGTTTTTTTCCTCTCTGAACTCACAGAATCGTTTCCCAAACGAACTTTGCATTGTGGTGATTGCAGACTTCAAATATTCCAAATTTATCGTATCATGACTTTGAACTCTCTCAAAGAGGGAAAGTGAGACAGTGTACCTCTCTGTAAATCTTTGACAAACACTGTCAACTTGCGCTCGAATGCCAAAACCTCCTCCAGCATGTGCAGGGCTGTGCCTCCTTTCCCCTGGAGGGTTGTATTTAGTGTGTTTAGATGTGCTGTCATGTCTACCATAAAATGTAATTTTTCCAGCCACTCTGGTTGTTCCAGCTCAGGAAAGGTGAGCTCTTTGCTTGGCAGGAAAGTTTTTACTTCTTCCAAAGATGCGACAAAGAGTTTTAGCACCTCGCCTCTGGACAGCCATCGGACCTTGTTGTGGAGCAGAATATATGCTTTCCACTCACTGTACAGGCCCGACTCCCAGTGACAGTCACACTGCAAGCCCTCTCTTTCTCTTTCTCCAGTCCTCTCTGTCCTCTTCTTTTTCCTTCTCCCTTTTTTCTCTTTATTGCTTTTTTATTATTATTATTTTTCAGTGTCCCCTCTGTCAGCACCTCTCTTTCCCCTCGCAGCAGTCTCCTCCAACCCAGCTCAGAGGTGCACAGGCTGTGATGTGAGGGAGGAGGCTGGGCCAGGACAGGGATGCTGTGGTTGCCTAGTGACGCTAAGTTGCCAGTAACCTGCCACACAGAGCGCCAGGAGGCGTGGAGATAAGTGATACAGCTCCCCGCCCTCCCTCTCCCCCCACCTGCTATGGGCCGGCTGGGAGCCGCAGCATAGCTTCAAAAGAGCCGCATGCGGCTCCGGAGCTGCAGGTTGCCGACCCCTGCCCTAGGTGATTGAACCTGCAACCTAGTTAGGTGCCCTGACCAGAATAGAACCCACAACCTTTTGCTGTGCAATACAATGCTCCAACCAGCTGAGCCACCCAGCCAGGGCTCTCTTTTCTTCTTTTATATATGTAAGCATTGCTACTAAATTAAGGTCAGTGGGTAGCTACTCTAGGGGGAGTATGCAGAGAACCTAGCACAGAAGAATCTCCCTTATTTTTAATTCCAGTCTCTAGGAAGCAGAGGAACATTAAAATCTTGTAATACCCTTCACCACCATCTATTCTTATTAGCAGCCATCTATGTATATGTAAAATTTACTTCCACTACAGCAAATTTTAGGGTAGCTTTTTTGGTTTGCCCTGAACCATGATGCCTAAGGGTTCAATTTAGGCAGGTATGTTTTTTTCTAGAAGACAGGATAGGTTATTCCTAATGTTTTGAAAGAAATGAGAAGATCTAGTGATGATAAAATCAAGCCTACCAATCTTATAAGCACCTCATACTTGTTTTCTTTTTTAAAATATATTTTATTGATTTTTTACAGAGAGGAAGGGAGAGGGATAGAGAGCTAGAAACAATGATGAGAGAAACATCAACCAGCTGCCTCCTGCATGCCCCCTACTGGGGATGTGCCCGTAACCAAGGTACATACCTTTGACCAGAATTGAACCTGGGACCTTTCAGTCCTCAGACAGATGCTCTATCCACTGAGCCAAATGGGTTTCGGCTTAGTTGTTTTCTTGTTTCATGAAAACATAAGCTTAAAAAGCTGTTATTTTACTTGATAGGTATTTTTAGGAGATCAATTTGAAACCTGGGACCTAGCCTTTCTAGTTTTTATAAAATCAACAGTAATATAAGAGAGCAAGGAAAAAGAACCTTAGAACATGTTTTGTTTTAATTATCATTTATTATTATTTTGTGGTAGTTTTTAGATTTTGTAGGTGTTAGGAGAAAAGATATGGAAAAGAGGTGAATTCTAGGATGATCATTATAATAATGACTTCTATTTTAATTTAACTAAATTCTTTTATTTGTGGTTTCAAAAGGAGTTAAAGTGGGTCAGAATTTCTCATTAAATGTTTCTACCATTTGAAAGCTAATAAAATTCATTAAACCTAAATTTTATATACTACCATTCTATTAAAGGAAAGTATCTTCCTGTTGTCTCATTTATAATAATAAAAGCATAATATGCAAATTGACCGAAAGGCCAAATAGCAGAATGACTTGTCTGGTGGTCATCATACCCACTGGCATCATGCCAGCCAAGGAGGGTGCATTGTGATTGGTTGGGGGCCCCACCGTTGTCCCATGATCGCCCTGCAGAGGGAGGCCCAGGACATTGACAGGTGGGCTGTGGTGGGAGGGTGGGGCCTCCTCTGCTTGGCCATTGATCATGGGGAGGGAGCATGAGAGGGAGCAAGCTGGGCTGAGGGACCCCCTCCTTCAGTGTATGAATTTCATGCACCGGGTCTCTAGTTTATTTTATAAGAAGCTAAGATTTTTGGTAGAGGTAGATATTAATTCCTAATTCTTTTAATCTGGGAGTCACAAAGGGACATGGAATGGTTTTCTTAGAGATGCAGTTGAGTGAGTATAAAGTTAAGGTTATAAATATTGAATGTACTTTATTTTGTGTATTTATAGAAACCAGATGGAAAGATTTAAAAAGTGATTTTGTGCTTGGAAATAGGTAGATAATATGGAAGATGAGTATTGTTTAATTAAAAAAGTTTTCATTTGAGAAGTTAAGAGGGATACAGGGAGAGAGTGAGGAGCATGTAAGTCTGGGTGAAACATAACTCAAAGTCATATAGTTTGCTAGTCCATGAGAAAAACCAATAACAGATTGATTTAATTTATCAAAGGAGAAAGGAGTAGGGAGAAGAAAAAAAGACATATTTGGGAATAGTAAATTTTGTTTTCCTTTCTTTGGCTAAGCTGCTGATTAACTGGCAGCAAGTGAAGAGAACAATTAGGATATTCTACACTTGGGCACCTTGATGGGTCATCAAAGAAAACAGTTTTAGTTGTTTATGAATCTCCAGAAGACCTTGAGTGTTTAACTTTCACTTACACTTGTGGCTCTGTATTATGTCTACCATTATCCTCCTTACCACTTCCATGCCAGATCTGCGTCAGAATTTCTCACTTGCTTTAATTATGTTCTTGTTTCTGTGATTTCTTTTATAATTTTTGTATTCTTTGGTATGTTAGATGGCCTTTCCAAAAAGTTAATGCTAAATCTTCCTGGGGAATTGTTGGCCATATAATTATTACTTTAACATTGTGTGCATGTAGTTTGTTAAGTTCTTAGATCAGAAAGTCTCAGTCTGTGTGAGACTATAAGGGAAATGTAAACTGCAGTGTATTATTCAGTGGATTTCTCTGGTGAGTTCTCCAGTAAACCAACAAAACGTATTTGCTCAAAGCAATTTATACTCTTTTACCTTTCTATTGCTTTGAAATTTAGGTCGTGAATTTGAAGTATTTTATAAATTGTCTTTTCTATAGGTAGATTTACTATTATGTGCTTTATCATTGATGACGAATGGGAATACTGATAAATTATGTTTTCTTACAGTCAAAGGAGATTGGTTTGTTAGATGTCGATGTATATGGCCCATCAATTCCAAAGATGATGAATCTGAAAGGAAATCCAGAATTATCACAGAGTAAGTAAAGAGAGATAAATAGTATGATAATAGCTACTCAGGATAGTTTAGTAATTCTGAAATCAGATATGGAACTAGGCTGCATGGGTTTGAATTTCATCTCTGTCACTTACTGTGTAGGTTTGAAGGTTTGAGTGAATTGTTTAACTTCTTTGTACCTTAACCCTTATTTACCCTCCCCATATATAAAATAGGGTTAACAATTGCTCTGAGTAATCACTCAGTTACATAATTGCTATAAGTGTAATGCATTTAATAGTGTCTGGCACATAGGAAGTTATCAAAAGTTAGCTCATCACTATTGTTTCTATATATTAAATGTGTGGATATATGGGAGTATTTAAATAGAAAGTATTTATCTGTATTAGAAAATATGAAAATTACTTTCTCTAATCAGATTTTTATCATATTTGTCTTAAATTGTTTTTTTAAATACTAAAAAAATTAGTTTCTTTCCCCATTCTTCAGTACCATCAATAATAGTGAATTTCCATATCTTAAGTGATAGACTCATTATGTCTGTTTCTTGATTAAAATAATGTGAAAACTGCTGCATACAGCACATGAGTGATGGAAAAATGGAGCTCTTGGTATCAGTCTTTTCTTAAGTAGTTAGTCAGTCTCTGCTATCATAAATACTTGAAGCAAACTTTAATTTCTCTCTTTCTGTTTTACTGAAGCTGTAATCTTAAATTTGATGTTTGCAAATTGGCTGCAATTATATAAGCTTTCTAGTATAGATGAGCTACTGGAAATCTGAAAAGCTTAAAAAGAATACTTTGTGTGTTGACAAGCTGATTTTAAGTCCCCCAAGAAATAAACTGAACTATTAAGACATTTAATTAAAGCAGGGGTAGGGAACCTTTTTCTACCAAAGGTCATCTGGATATTTATAACATCATTTGCAGATATACAAAATTATCAACTTAAAAATTATTCTGCTATATTTGGTCAAACATTTAATTAACTCACCCCTAATGCCTTGGCAGAGTTGGACCAAATGATTTCTCGGGCCTTATATGGCCTTTGGGCCAGACATTCCTCACTCCGGACTTAAAGGAATGTGGATTCTTTTTTTCTAAGTTAAATTTTCATTTATTTCAGAGAGGAAGGGAGAAGGAGAGGGGGATCGAAACATCAATGATGAGAGAGAATCATTGATCGGCTATCTCCTACACACCCCCTACTGGGATTGAGCCTGCAATCCAGGCATATGTTCTGACTGAGAATCTAACCGTGAGCTCCTCCTGGTTCATAGATAGATGCTCAACCACTGAGCCACACCAGCCAAGCAGAATATGAATTCTTAAAAGCCCAGCTTCTAAATTATTTTTTGATTCTTAGATAAACTCGCCATCATTATACTAATTGGCATCATTTTGACATTTCTACATTTATCATGTCAATTTATTCTTTTGTACTCTATTATAGCACATACAATCCAATATGAAAATATCTAATTAACATGGAAGGAAAGCTGTGAAAGATTTGTTTTAAGCAATTTAGATTTTGGGGAGATTCAATGATTAGAATCTCACCGTTGTATATGTTTCTCTCTGTTCTTGTAGCTAATCTTAGGGGTAGTAAGATTTAATGATTGTCCCTTTCTCATTATTTAAACACATATGGCAATGTAGTTTTAGTCAATTTATTTTAAAAATTCATGTTAGGGTTTGCAGCTTTACATTTTTATTCACATTCTCATATATATGCATAGTGTCCCTATGGGAGTTCGATCAGGAAAATGGGAATCCTGTTTCTCACTTGCTATGATGTGCACTGACTGAAGGGGGCAGCACAGAATGAAGGAAGGCCCTGGCGGGCAGCAGGCAGCCAGGGAAGGGAGACCCCTCCTGGCAGCCTGAAGGCCCAGATCAGCCCTGATTGTTAGAGTGTGTGTGTGTAAATATAAATATAAACATAAACATAAACATAAACATAAACATAAATATGAATATAAATACACACACATAAACTTTTTAAAAAAATATATTTTATTGATTTTTTACAGAGAGGAAGGGAGAGAGAGAGAAAGCTAGAAACATCGATCAGCTGCCTCTTGCACACCCCCTACCGGGGATGTGCCCGCAACCAAGGTACATGCCCTTGACCGGAATCGAACCCGGGACCTCTCCGTCTCCAGACTGACGCTCTTCCACTGAGCCAAACCGTTTCAGCCACATATACCTTTTTGTTTTGGTAGAAGTGGGGTAAGGTATGGGAAATTGTAGAAAAACCACACTTTTGGATGTTTATATGACATTTTAGCCTTGATTACAAGGAGAAATGTAATATTTGATTCTAGAGAAGTGAATTCAGTAATTGGAGAAAAATTTGAGTTTATACGTAGTAGTTTTGGGCTTCTTAGGCTAAAAGTGTTCCTCTCAGCTTAAAATGACAATAGTGATTTGAATATGTTGTTTAAAAAATATATTTTTATTGATTTCAGAGAGGAAGGGAGAAGGCGAAAGTGATAGAAACATCAGTGATGAGAGAGAGTCATTTATCTGCTGCCTGCTGCACACCTCACACTGGAGATCAAGCCTGCAACCCAGGCATATGCCCTCACTGGGAATCGAACTGAAACTTCCTGGTTCATAGGTCGATGCTTAACCTCTGAGTTATGCCATTCGGGCGATTTGTATATGTTTTTATACAAAATTGTGGGGATGGAAAATATAGCTAGTTTGTAAAAAGCATATTATATAAAAACCTCAACAGATTGACATAATGACTGCAAATGACCAATTGCCTTGGGAAATTAATGGAGATTAGAATAAAATCCATGTGCAGTTGGGGAAACTTTCATCTAAGCAAGAATGTACTTAAAAAAAAAAAAAGGACAAAGGAACAAATGCCATTACTTGTCTTTTTTAACTTTCCAAGTAACACCATATTCAAATTTCATATTATAGTATGGGCAGATTATACCCCCAGAAATTATTGAGTAGAAAAGTTTTTAACTGAAATTGCAAGTGAATAAGTGGTAATTGCACACAAAGATGTGTTGCTGTATTTCATTACTATAAATATTCTTTTTTTGTGTGACCATGTTAAGGATTTTTACTAAGCTTTCTAAAATGATTCTTATTGGTAGAAATAGCTGCTTTCTTTTACAGTTTTGTGAGATAAATCATTTTCAGTACTTGTGAATTCATTACTACTTTGATTTACTAAAGAATATCTTTTAATGTACTTAGCTAATAGAGTGGGGAAATGTTAAGGCCTGCAGAGAAAGGTTATTAAAATTGAAATATAAAGTAATTTTAATGAAGACTAGGGGCCCGATACACGAAATTTGTGCGAGAGTAAACCTTCCTTCCCCCGGCTGCTGGCACCAACTTCCCTCTGGCACCCAGGACTAGCTAGGGCTTGCCTCTGGCCACTGGCACCCGGGAGCCAGGCTTCCCTCGCAGCACCGGCTTTGTCTGGAAGGACGTCCAGTCTAATTAGCATATTATACTTTTATTATTATAGATAACGTAGTACTTATTAATGATTTAATGTGAGACTTTTTTTTTTTTTTGAGTAGAATCCACTCGCCTTTTCTGTTGTTGGAGGATAGAAATTTTGAACTCATGACAATATTCTGCTCTATCTGTCTTAAGGCATTAAGCATTTTTCACATTTAGGAATTGTGTGTGGGCTTATGAGACAGAGAAATTGTGGAAAATCAGCTTGGGCAATTGACCTTTAATAGTAGCACTCAGCTATAGTAAGAACTGCAAAGAAGCAACTAAGATTTCTTAAAAGTAATTTAAATGCATAAAGAATGATAGTGAACTCTACTTATTTCTGAAGTCATCTTGCTGTTTTTTTCCAGGGACTAGAATTAAGGGTGTTACTGAAGTTGTTGAGATGGATGATTAAATTTTAATGCAATGGAACTCTCAAAGCTTCTCATTTATAATTTGCTGCTTCTTGTCATTGTCCTGTGGACCCTTGGGTTTCATCTGGTGCTATAGGTCCTCTGATTATCTCTGGGAAAGGTTCTTGGGTGAGTTCCATGATCATTGTATTACAAGAATGATTTTTTCTTTGCTGCTTTCCTGAATTACTTTTATAACCGCTTTTATACCCAGAATATTAAAGACAGGTGATATTCCTAACATGGGGATGGGTTGAAGGAATCTCAGAAAGTTGTTTTGGTTTGCTCCGGCTTTAGGTGCTTTATCTTTGAAATATCTCAGACATGAGGTCTATGTTCTGTGAAGAGTCCCATCACCCTCATTTATCAAAACAGAACTCCCTCCTTCTACTTGGTTCATTGTTTCTTGCATAGATCATTAAATAGACCTGAACTCAATATCTGTTAGTGTGGAAAACCCTTTTCCTTTTCCTTTGACAATCCTGAGCTGAAGAATAGCTGGCTGTTTTTTTTTTGTTTTTTGTTTTTTTTTAGTTTTACTTGATCTGCTGCAAACCATCTTAGCCAGAGGCTGCAGCAAGTGAAATCATTAAAGGATGCCTTAATCACTGAACAACTAAATGTATCTTACTAAATGTATCTACTCTCTGTTAATTTTGGTTTTCTTTCACAGGATAGCATCAAATAGTGTTGACTAGGTGTATCTGTATATATGTCAGGCCATACATTTTTATGTTTATGTTTAGCATCTGCCACAAGACAAGACTGATATTCTATACCTTGTTCCCATTTTGACTTATGTCAGAGGGCTAGCCTTAAAATGTGTAGATTAGTAGTATAGCACATTTGTAATGGGTCCATCTGTTAAGGCTATTTGTACTTCACATTTTTCTTTTAAAAACAAGTAATCATACTTTTTTCCTCCCCTTCATATTTCCTAACTTTTTAATGATTTTCAATGTTTTTCAAAATTATCAACACATTTTCAGTATCTTCTCTCAGATGAGAAAAATAAAAGAACTTACTATTGTTAGGTAGTGAAAGGATTCGCTTGTAATTATATTTGTAATGCTCTGTTTTTATTTATGTGCCCTGCAAAACTTTTGCTTTTTAGAATATACCTCATTATTTT